TTCACTTCAGCACTGCGCCTCCTCTGAGTCTGGGTATGATATTCTCTTTCCTCCTAGTTGTAGAATTTCCACTCAGCCAGCCTTCATGTGGCTCTGGATGATGTCCGTTCCGTCTTTTAGTTGTATTTTTGAAGTGGTTGTTCGAGGCAGCATTCTCCGGTGTTTACGTATGCCGCCATCTTGGTTTCCTGAGGTCAGTCTTTATTCATTGTGCTGGCTACTCTGTGAGGTTTAGCCACCTGTAACCTCATGCCTTTCAGTTTGGGAAGTTTGTCGTGTGTTATTTCTTGCATGATTTCTTTCCCTCTGTCTTCCCTGTTCTCTCTTTCTGGAATTCCTGTTAATTAGGTGTATTGTACTTTCTGAGTTGATCCTCTGGCTTTATCTTTTCTCTCCTGTTCTGTGTTCTCTCTGCCTTTTTGTTCTAATTTTTCCATGTTTTCTTCAACTTTTATCATCTAACCTTTCAGTTATCTTAATTTCTGATATCTTGGAGAGCTTTCTCTTCTCTGAATATCCCTCTAAAGCAGTGGTTCTCAACGTTGCTTGCACATTAGAATCACCTGGGAATCTTTTTTAAATCCTGATTTCTGGGCCTCGGACAGCCACTGTTTCGCCAGAGAGAAGGAAGAGAATAAACCCAGCGTCCCCGTTCACCCCAGTCGCACCATGCCGCTCATCAGTCTGCACCGCCGCGGAGGCCGCAGCAGCGAGAGTTCCAGGGTCTCCCTTAACTGCTGTAGTAACCTGGGTCCAGGGCCTCAGTGGTGCTCCTGATGTCCCTCACCCACCCCGGAAGATCCCAGGTGGGCGAGGGAATAGTTCAGAGGGATTGTGATTTCCTCAACGGCCCAGAAATCAGGATTTTAAAAAGATTCCCAGGTGATTCTAATGTGCAGCCAACGTTGAGAACCACTGCTCTAAAGAGACAATTACTTGATTGAATTGGGCTAAGTTAGGGATCCAACTTCTCTTACAAACTCGGAGTTAATGCTCTGGTTGCCAGCCCCATCTTACAGCACCCACTTTCTGAGACACTGCCTTCTCAAGATCTGTGCCACAAGGGGCTAGCTTTCTAGGGACCCCTCTACTGCACTCATTCTCTCTGCTTCCTTTCTGTCTGCTGATTCACTTATTCTTTGTCTATTCTATTTCCAGCTTACAAAATTTGGACATCTTTTTTTAAATCTTTATTGTTGAAAGTATTACATGTGTTCCCTTATTCCCCACATTGACCCCTCCTGTCCACCCCCACCCAGGCCTTCACCACCCTCTTGGGTCCATGGGTTATGCATGTATGCATACAAGGTCTTTGATCTCCTTCCACCCACCCACCCACCTCTCCCCCGCCTTCCCTCTGAGATTCCACACTCTGTTCCATGCTTCCATGTCTCTGGATCCACTCCGTTCATCAGCTTATTTTGTTAATTAGATTCCACTTATGAGTGAGATCACGTGATACTTGTCTTTGAGTTATTTTACTTAGCATAATACTCCACAGAATTTGGACATCTCTTGTGTGTTGTTTCCTCTCCCATTCTTCATGTCCTCATGAATTTGTCTTATAAGTTTATCCCTGTATTTTTGTGGGAGGGAAACTGATGTGTAAATGTATGGTTTGAACTATAGTATTTAATTAGATGAGAGTTTTTTTGTATTAATTTATATTTAAAACTTATAGTTGACAATTATACAAATGACTTTCAGTCATAATAAGGATTTTATCAGCCAGAATCATAGTATTCTTGGACACTTTTTACTGTCCTCTCCCACCCCTTTATCATTGAATTATCCCCAGAATTTTTAGCAGTATTTGATAAAAAGGAAATACTCTAACTATAGTTAAAATGTAATTAATGTGAAATTTATATATTTTTAAAATTTGAACATTCTAATTGTAACACAAGGGGCTTGCCTTTCCCACATGTTCTTTCTTCTGTTTCCTTCCCTGTCTCCATCGTTGATGTCACTCCCAACCCCAAGTTTGAAATAGATTTACTTCTTAGACACAGTGACATATTAAAATGCAAAAGTCTTAAAGTGATACAATATTTAAGATGCTAAAGTACAAAATTCTCCAAAATAGTCAAGTCTAAGCACTCAGTAATCCATTTATCATCATCTTGTCCCATTTCACGGCCTGCTTGCCAATTTTCCTCTAGAAAGTTAAAATATTTGGTGGGTTGGTTTGTTCTGCTTATTTGTTACTTTTTGGTGTATGTCATGTCCATCCATCAGTGTTTTCTTCATTACAACGTAGATTATTATTATCTCTTAGAGCAGCGGTTCTCAATCTGTGGGTCGCGACCCCTTTGGGGGTCGAATGACCCTTTCACAGGGGTCGCCTAAGACCATCCTGCATATCAGATATTTACATTACGATTCATAACAGTAGCAAAATTACAGTTATGAAGTAGCAACGAAAATAATTTTATGGTTGGGTCACAACATGAGGAACTGTATTTGAATGGCCAGAAGGTTGAGAACCACTGTCTTAGAGTAATGCTTACATATAAACTTTTGAACATTCTATAAAAATAATGGGTAACCAGTAATCAGGCTAATTCCTGCCTAGCAAAGCCTTCGATCCTGTGTCTCAATCAAAGTCTAGTTTATAGGAAGTAAAAGATACTCAACAATGATGTGACCACCGTAAG